AAAAAAATAAAAAAATAAATAAATGCATACAGTACACACATAGGCTGCATGTACAAAATGGACATATTCTCAGTATATATTCAAAGGCCAAAATCCAAAATATTAATCTCTTTAGCGTCGAGGAACTGAATCAGTGAAATTTAAATAAGTGTTAATTTACTAGGTTTCCATTGATTCAATGACTCTTAGTCTAGTTAAGACAAATAATTGAATCTGGGCCATAGTTAATGTATAAACTTCAGATCATGTATTCAATCAACCATTTTCAACAGTAACACTATGCACTTTGTAGTAGTTTATCTCTTTCATTTTTTTAACGCACAAACACAATGTTTAGACGTGATCTATGCTAACCACAGATAAGGAACCACATTATGGTTTGGGATTAAAGACTGTCAATACCCAAAACCTAGTTTACAGCTGCATGTTCACTTTTGTTTCCCATTTGTTCAATGCCCTGGTTCATTTCCTTAGTATAACTAGCTTCTTGAGCTCTCATGTGTCACTAGCTGTGATACTATTGCTTGTGAATCCAGACATTACAGCATACTACACATAGTACAGATTGTGGCTTATAAAACTAATCCCAAGTGTTGGCTGAAATCCAGCTGCCATAACTTACATCACATAAGACTATGTGCTTGTTTTTTGAGAAATTAAAACATTTCTGACCTCTTGCCTGGAAGATCCTAAGGCTCCCGAAATTTAAAAAATCCCCAATGCTGGTAAAATCACCCAACTGGCAGTGATTATTAGACATTAAAGACATACCCCTCCAACGGCTTCTTAGTTGGAATACATATAATATATCCCTTTGACATTTAGTCCAGTCGTGTCCGACTCTAGGATGTAGTGCTCATCCCTGTTTCCAAGCCATAGAGCCAGCGTTTGTCCGAAGACAGTTTCCGTGGTTACATGGCCAGCGCGACTAGACAGGTAAAGTGGTACCTATTTATCTACTCACATTTTTACATGCTTTCAGACTGCTAGGTTGGCAGGAGCTGGGACAAGCGGCAGGAGCTTACTCCATTGCGTGGATTTGATCTTACAACTGCTGGTCTTTGACCTCGCAGCACAGAGGCTTCTGCGGTTTAACCCACAGCGCCACCACATCCCTATTACTCCTATAAGATGCATCTAAATTTCATTATCGTTTTTTCTTGAAATTGTCCATTTTTCCAACTTAATTTCAGTACTACTTTTGAAACAGTTGTTTATTTTCACCAGAATCTGAAAATTAGATACTTGTACTGATTGATTTCCCAATTAGCATGAGAAAAGGTCATTCCCTCTGCTACACTTGGTTCAACAAAAACTCATGTTCTGAGTTAATATATAGGCTTTGCAAACTACACTCCTGAGGCGTAGGTAATTTGTAGCTAGCAAAGTTGGATTTTATAAGCTCTTCACATTCCCAAAAGACTTATGCTTCAAGGGTGGAAAGATTAACATACACTATCCGTTAATCAGTGGTCAGAAGATTTCACTATTTTAGCATATGCATGATGATCTAGTCACCTTCTATCAATGCACATCCTCTATTGCACAATTATAGTTTTTTTAAAAATATATTCTCCCTTTCTGTTTTTCTCTACTTTTTTCTTTCTCTTTTTAAAATAAAATTAGAAGTTACTCCCTCTGTTGCATGGACTTTTTCTAATTGCACAAACCCAGAAGGTTCAGTTTTCTAAAACATGGAGAGTTCCTGATGGCTTGTCTCAACTCCTCATTGATTATATGCTGCAACACCAGTTGCACATCAACACCTGTGACCTTAGTAACAGAAGATGCTGTCACCCACTGAGAAAGCTATTTAGAAAAAAAGGTGTTGAATGAAACATAAGACTCCCTTCTCTCAATGAACGAGGCAAACTGGTTTATTTCACTAACAAACAGATTTCTCTCTAGTACCTTCATACAGGAATTTTATTTAAACTGAACCATGTGGAAAACTTGTTTCTTAATTTTCTCTCTGTAATATACATCAAACCTGTGAGGGCTTTTTAAGAATGTAAGACTATCTTCCACTAAAAATTAAAACAAAAAACCACATTTATCTCGTGTATATCAATTTCTATATTTTGAGTGTTTTAAAGGATGATTTTGAAATGGAGAAGGATTTCAAAAGCAGCTTATGACACAAGATGGCTGAGGAAGAACTGACTGTTGCAGGTCAAAATCTGTTGTGGCCTAGCACAAGGCTGGCAGCTGTCTTACAGCAGTGATCCCCAACCTTGGGCCTCCAGATGTTCTTGGACTACAACTCCCAGAAGCCTTCACCACCACCTCTGCTGTCCAGGATTTCTGGGAGTTGAAGTCCAAGAACATCTGGAGGCCCAAGGTTGGGGATCACTGTCTTACAGCCAGTCAATCCAATGGTCCATCTAGCTCAGTGAGAGAACTCAAGCCCAATAATTATTTCCCCAGCCTACTAAGAGATTCCAGAAATTGAATCTAGTACCTTTGGCAAGAGAAAGCTGATATTCTACTCTCACTATCCTAATGTCCAATTCTTGTTTTTTTCCGCTACAGCTTCAAGTAAGTCTTACTGATATGGGCACAGCAGGGAAAAATTCTAGCAGAGAGACAGATTGATTTTTCATTGCTTGTTCGCCGATTCCCCAACCCTCTCTTTCTCTCTGCATAGTCCGAATTATCCAATTTCCTTTTATTGTGTTAAAGGCAGGTTAAGTCCAAAATTGATGGTGTATAGCTCGCAATGGATTCCTTTTACATAAACACTGCGTCTCTCACTAAGGCCTCTTCATCAATCTGTCTTACACCCAAGAGTTCAGCCCTATTCAGGCACTCAGAGAGAAAAAGGTTAATTTGAACGCATGAGGAGAGGGAGGGTTGTAGCCCCATCCCTGTTGCTCTTTTCACGCAGAGCGCAAGAGCCTGAAGCGCTAAACCTCTGCAGCCCACAGAGCCTCTTCATGTGATGAGGAACCTTGATTTTTCAGGCTCCTCGGCTGGATGGAGAGGCCTTCCCCTTCAGCTCGTCGTTCTCTGTGTCAACAGAGGGCTATGCAAAGGGAAGACTTCTTTTCCTCCTCATGTGTGCAGATCAGCCTTTTTCTAAACTCCTCATGAGGGCCCATGAGAAGGCAGCAGGAAAGCTTCCTGATCATTGCCCTTTCCTTCTGCCCATTTGGAAAAAAAAAATTCTTTATAATTAATGATGCTCAAAATCAAGGGTATGTAGATTTGTGTTGCTGGACTACGCCTCCCAGAATTTGCAAGGCTCATGGGGTTTGAAGAGGTCTAGTACCAAAACACAGGTCTGTTCAAATTCTATCCAGCAGTCCAAAGCTTTAGGAAATGGGTCAGAAAAACCGACTGACTGAGACATGTATTTAAAACAGCATTTTGGACATGTTAAATCTTAGGAAATGGGTCAGAAAAACCGACTGACATCTGCTCCATTCAGGCCTCTGAGACATGTATTTAAAACTGGCAATGGTGCGGCTAAAAAATATTGTAAATAAATAAAATAAATAAATAAATAAAACAGCATTTTGGACATGTTAAATTGGAAGTAGTTTAGGAAGTGAGCCATCCCACAAAACTCTTGAATGGAGTATACACTGTATTATGCATGTGTATAATGTGCATTTATTCTTGTTCTTATTTCAAAGTAAATCTTCCAATGAACTTACTCTAAAGAATAGCTGGTGGTATTTTCTAAACCAGTGTCTGCATGACCCACTGGTTCAACTCTGCTGCTTTCTTCTTCTGTTCCATCTTCATCCTGGTAACAGAAAAAGATATAACACATTTTATATTACAGATTTTTAAAAATAATATAAAATACTTAAAAACATTTAGAAAGACTCTCTCTCTCTCTCTCTCTCTCTCTCTCTCTCTCTCTCTGTGTGTGTGTGTGTGTTTGTGCGTGCGTGCATGCATGCATGCATGCATTTGCAAATAGTTTCTATAAACGTCTTATATATAAATTTAATGTGTATTTTTGGTTATCAATCAACCTCTGCATAATCTCCACCCAACCATGCAAATATAAATAAAGACTGGCTGTATTCGTTTGGACCAACTAAAGAATTGGTCCAAAATAATACTTGGAGCAACTAAAGCTTATGAAACATTTCCAAAGGCAGCCTCCCATCACAATAATCCAAATGTGAGATTGCTAGTGTAGATAGCTGTAAAAATCCATCTGTGCCTACACAATCTTATGACATCAACTGCTCCATAAAAGGCAGTGGTTTTCTAGTCTTTCAGACAAGTCTCCTGTGGAGACACCTTGCTTTGAAGCTGGAAGTTTCTGAAAAGTATTCCACCATTGCATCACGTTTCACTGAAAAGCAGTGCATTAAACATTTCTTATGATAATCCCACTAAATCCAAAGACTATATGTGATCTGATTATGACGTAACTGAAATAAAATGGTAGTGATAGGTACATCTGATATAATGATTATGTTATTTTTTATCTAAATTGATAATACTCTACATTATAGAGATAAATATACAATATGTTATAAATTTGTATTATACAGAAAGTTAAAGAACTACTCAATTGTAGACCAATGAAGTTCTTCATCCTGTATCCTTGAGATCATAGTTCTATTCGTGAGATTCACTATGCTTCAGTGTTCATGAACTAGCAACTTACAACCCAGCCTACTGGCCAGAATCTTATTGGTGAGTCACACTGGCATAAGTGCAACAGTGTAAATTAAGGAAACGAAGTGTCACTAGTTAATGAGTTTGTATTCTTTCATTTTACTCCAGTTCATATGTCAAACACATAATGAGAGACAAAAGTAGCAACTTGTTTAAGTAGCTACAACTCGCCACTGTAATTAACGTCACTGTATTTACACTCACCAAGAAGATTGTGGCCAATGTCCCTTGACTCTGCAGGTCTTTTACTGAAAATGCACTACGGCAACCCCCATCCATGGTAAACAAATGTTTTTGCTCAATGACTTCGTGCTGAATTCCAGAGCAACATGAGGAAAATACTAAAGCATTTTCAACACTGTTTTGTTGAATGAGTGTGTGGGGGGGGGATTCAAAGAGTGCTGAAAATGCTTTAAAGTAGTATATATATGCAGAGTTCCATAAGTTATGCAACATCATAAGAATGTGTGTCTGTTTAATTGTTCATGCATATGTACATGAACATGCCTCTACAATATTATAACCAGTATGTTTCAAAGCACGGATGCAGAATCTACAAGCTGAAACCGTCTATCAACAAAACAATAAGTGATGAGTGAAGGTTATGAGTTCAGCACAAAGAAAGACAATATATTACTGAAGAAAGATTCAAACAAGGTTGAGGCATTCCACAATGTCCAGCTGACATTTTCTCTGAGGGTCTGCAACATGAGAAGTTGGATATACCCAGTTCTCTCAATTAGCTGTAGATATACACCCAGAATGGCAAATCACTACAAGAAATCAAGCGACTTGACGATTGATGATATCCAGTTTTGAGAGACTCTAATATGCGCTTCTTAGTCATCTATCTCTCTTAAGCACCAGGCAAGTAATACATATCAAAGTTCACCAGTATTTGCAATATGCCTGGAAGTGCATTAGGAACATAAAGAAGAACTCAACATTAGATATTTACCGTACGTTATTTTTAAAAGGTGTTTGAATACAAAGAATGTCGAGTCTCCCAGCAACATTCGTAAGTATTTTTGTCAAGTGTATTGAGATACTATATTTATTGTAGAAGCATCCATGTGTGTTAAAGTTTTTCTGTCCATGGTATGTAACTGCAAACAACGTAAATAGTTTTACATGGCAGAGAATCCTTCATGAACAGAGCTCATGTACTCCCTTGTCTATGAATATAAAGAAAAGCGCTGTGGTTCAATGGGGCCTGCCCATTTGCAGGAGTTTTGCCGATCTCTTTCCACAGAGGCTCTGGCATCTCATAAAGACATCATTCAAGAATATCTCCTAAACTCAAGCATGGCTTTTCAAGGTTCTTGCTGCAAAGCCACAAGAGTCTGGAGATGTTAAAATAAAATCACAGGACATCCTGTGTTGTGCTCTTAGAAACCAAAGAAAAGGCTTGGAAATGAGGATGCTACAACCATGTATATCCTTTGCTAGGAAGAGCAAAACTGAGGGTGCAGTTGAATTCATGTCCTTCTAACAGGCTCCTCAAGCACTTCATAGACAAGATAGCATGAACAGAATGCTTGACGGAACAGATTTTTGATCTAATTCAGCAAGCTTCTTCTTATGTTTACTACTAATTTCTTTTCAAACCCAAAGACCCTATATAGCAGCACCATGTTTTCCATGGACGTTGCTCTTGAAGACTGATCTGATCCTCTAGTCAATACCAAATGCCACAGTTCATTGCCTCAAGAGATAGTTCAAATCTTCAAAACTTTCTTTACTATTTGTGACTTGTCCAACTCAAAGAATGTTTCTTTGCAAAGCTTTTTAAAAATCATCTAGTAAATAATCCTCACAACTATCGTCACTGAAATATACAGATCTGTGGCCTAAATACTGGCCAAAATCATGCTGTGCAGGTAACTCAAGGGTATAATATTTGAAGGTGAATTGCTTCAAGTTAAGACATCTCGTTTCAAAAAGATCTGTGTGGTGAGGAAACAGAGAGTCTTGGCTTCATAGTATCTTCACAGAAAATAAATGCCTGAAAACAGTCTGCTTCTTCCAAACCACAGAAACGTGAGAAGCTGTTTTATGCTGAATCAATTCCTTATCCTATCCAGCTCAGTACTGTGGCTGTAAACGGTTCCAGGAAGGTTTCTTTCAAACCCAGCCTGGACGGTCATTGGAGATCTCCTCTTTAAGTAAAAACCAGACTGGGCCCACCCTCCTTAGCTTCTGATTTTCAATAAGGCTGTAGGTTTTCAGGATAGTACAGTGAAGGGCAGTATGGTGTAGTGGATGGAATGTCAGACTAGGATGCAGGACACTTGGCTATAAATCTCCCCTCTCAGCCATGGGATCTCAGAGGGGTGGTGCTAAAACCACTCCTTAAATATCTCATATATCTTAAAAACACTACTAGGGTTACTATAAGGGATGGAATTTTTGGACTAGAAATCCGACAATTCTCCATCCTGGGAGTTCTACCTGGCAGTCACTTTGCAGATATCTAAATTTAGTTCACCTGGGGTGAGGGGCCTAAATGGGAAGCTTTGAGGCTTAGCAGATCTCAAACTTCCTGTTCCTGCTCTGGTGCTAACTGGGAGCTTTCTTTCTGAACAAGAAGTTAGGTGAAGCTAGGCCTAGCTGTGCTCCAAGCCTTGCAGTTGAGGCCTTTCTTCCAGGTGAACCAGAATAAGGTGTCTCCAAGAATGGAGAATTATGGGATTTATAGTACAAAGATTCAAAAATCCTACTCCTATTTGCTTGTAGTCAGGTACAATGTGAGAGCACACAAAAAGCAGCAGTGACTAAAAACAAAATAACATCTAGTCAGTCAGATTCTTTGACCTATCATCTACAGTGGTGCCTCGCTTAACTACGATAATCCATTCCAGGAAAATCGCTGTTAAGCAAAAACATCGTAAAGTGAAATTTAAAACCCCATTGAAACGCATTGAAAACCGTTCAATGCATTCCAATGGGGTAAAAACTCACCATCCAGCAAAGATCCTCCATACGGCGGCCATTTTGGTGCCTATATAGCAAGGAATTCCTCCCTAAACACAGCAGGGAGCCATTTTAAATAGCAGGTGGCCATTTTGAAAACCCGACGATCAGCTGTTTTTGATCCTCGTAAAGCTAAAATTGGTTCCCGAAGCAGGGAACCGATCATCGCTAAGCGAAATTCCCCCATTTAGACCATCATTTTGCGATCGCAAAAAGATCATCATAAAGCAGATTCGTCATAATGCAGGGCAATCGTTAAGGGCACAACTGTATTAACAGTCCAGTCAAGAGAATTTGGTGAAGTACAGGTCCTATTTCTGCATTTGTTTGAACTCAAAGCATTCTGAGAAATTTGTAAAAGGTTCCCTTGTTTTTAAGTGCTTTCTATGAAATGCCTTCTACAGGTTGTATGATATGTAAGGCATTTCAAGCTCCTCCCCATTGCTGTTCACATAGTTTTATTGTTTTTCTTTTTATATGGATTGGACTTCATTTTTATCTGCAATAATTTATTTCCACATGGCAATAATATCCTAAGACTCCATAGAAGAGTCAGTACACTTTTGAAAGCTAACACATAATTACTGAGTACTACTAACATATATTTGAATATGTTGAAATAAACATACTTCCAGGACATCATAATTTATTTAACCTCCTCTATCCATGTTTTTCCCAAAATGTTCATAGCTCTAGGGAAATTTACACAGTTTCAATTTGATTTGGCTAACCTTCTGAATGTAAAAATTGCATCTTTCAATTATGATACTTGGAGTAAATGAAAAAGGGTTCAAAACTTCACTATAACATTAGCATCACGGTGCTGTAATTAAGAGATGTGTCCCCTTTTTTAAAAAAGGGAAAAAAAACTTTAATACTGCTGTAATCAGCCTCTTTTTTCTTTCCCATATAACACAGACCTTCATTTACAGAAAACCAAACATAGATTGATTTAGACACCTGCAGAGGGAAGTAACTTAGAATTATCATTTGCTCTTATGTGTTTTTTTTTAGTTACTAGCTTTGAAAGTATCTGCATCAAGCAATTATTGCCTTAGAGGTTTTTTTTTCCTTTTTAAATCCCTCCACCTGCTAACTAAGGTAAATTTAGAAAATGATGTACTTTATTTAGAG